GCTCTAGCCCAAAAAGTTGATGATAATAGCAGTTCCTTCCATTGTACTACTTCGTTTTCGAGTGCAAACTAATTTTCATGTTTATAGCTTTTTTCAGAAATTGATGAAAGCAAGTACATAACGTTGAGGCGAGCTGAAGTTGCAAAAGCAATTTCGACAATGTGTGACGAACGCTTACCAGCTATTTTATTATGGGCTTCTAATCGTCACATCGAGGCTATTTTTTACTGCGATCAATTTCGAGATCTAAAGTCGCAAGCAATGTTACGCTTTCTGCAGGATCAGCTATCCGGGTAAATTCATCTGTTTTGTCTTTTTATGTTGCATTAGTAATAAACAAAGACAGCCGTAGCCAACCAGTGCTCTGACGTACCATCACAACTCCGCAAGTCCAGCAAGCTGATATGGTTATCCCAGATCAAACCAGATTACGAATCTGAAACTTTAGTCCATTTCATTTTGTGAATAAATCGGTAACTACCGTAACAAGATAAAATCCACTGTGAACCCGCAACAGATCATGGCAAAAACGCATTACCGCGCTGGGTCCTCGGTGCGAGCCACTGTTTATTTTGAAGAAACTTAAGCAACTTTTGTTTGCCCCAACAGTAGCACTAATACTATTGTAAATCGATAGATATATCAGTGACTTCTTTCGCAAGCGGAAATCGGGGTGCAAAATGAAAGACGTCTGAATCCCAGTTCTCTGAGGTTCCAGCACCCAGCTGCTCAAAACAGTCGTTGAAAGGCTGCCTTATTTAGTTTGGAATCATTGGTTATGATGTGTACCTACTAGCTGTTTCAGCAACTGTTTGTCAGAAATGAAATACTGATCGCTATGAGTGACCAGTAATTTGCACAGCTTAAATGACTGCGCAATATTTGTGGTAAATAGCTCACAGCAAACATATGACGCAATAACTGCATAGCTTCTAATCACACTAAAGCTCAACAAACCCATAAATCATCCATTTCTCCGTCTCATTTTCTCTTTCATAAAAGTGGCTTTTTACACTCGGAAATCATGCTTTCAAATAACTGAGTTTTTCAAGAATTTAGCTGCGCCTTGTTTCGATTTTTGTGGTAGAGCATGTTGCTCGCATTGTTCTTCAGATTTTATTTTCTTCGTTGTCGCAGTGAATCTTACACGCGATTGTTTGATGGTGAGTCTGACTGTTTATTCAGTTATGAAGAAACAAGCCAAGAATCCTTCGCTCCACCACTCTCTTCATCATGACCAGCATTTAATCTAATTAGTTTTCGGCAACGACCAAGTTTTGCATTCGTATGCCATTGCCTTCAGCACACTGATGTTGAAGAAATGCGCACGACTCTCTCAGTTCGGCGCTGTGAAATTTGTTCCAACCGGCAGCCAACCCTCTTGCAATCTCCTGCTTGAGATTGTGACGCATATTTATTTGCTAACCGTAATCGATGCATTTCTTAATTTCTTTCAAGCTAACACAGCCTTATCTATAATCTAATCTTGTCATGGATGTTTAATGTTCGCTTGCCACGACAGCTCCAGATGGTCGCCCACTTCAAAGAATTTATACTGGAAATGTACAAGTTCTAGGCCGACAGAGTCGCCCGCATTCTCAGTTCCTGAATTGAACGCGGTCCGCTGGTCCTTTGATTGGTTGGTGAGCGCGATCCGTCAGTTTTTTCTCTGATTCTTTGACCACGGCTCGTCAGCTCGGATCACTCAAACTTGGGTAATGTAACATTTATCAACAAATGGTGAAAAATAACAAACGTCGGACACGAAAAGCTAATGTGAATACATAAGTAAATCACTTAAAATGTGTTACTACTACACAATATGTGGCGCAGGAAAAATGTAGAAAGTGGGATAGGTGTGTCCTCTGCCGTCATAAGTGTGTCCTCTGCCGTTATTGCTCCTGCCTTCGTTGTTGAAATACCATCTCGAAGTAGGATGAAAAAATCTGTGTGATAAGCGGGGTCGCCTTTCCTTGAATCCCTCTTAACTAGTGTGGGGACAGACGTGGAAGAAGGTATTACGTTA